AAGCTTTTAAGACCCCAGACACTATATCTTTTGATAGCCGGGCACCATCAGCTTTCTTCACCACCTTTGCTTATTCACCCGCTTTGTCTTCAGCGAAGTATCATTTTTTAATTTCAACTGTTACTACCATTAAAAATAGCTCCCACCAATGAAGATTCCAACTTTCAGAAGATACTATTTATGGCTTTTTATTCCAACTTTCAGAAGATACTATTTATTAAGAGGATTTGATTCAGTTACCTCTAGAGCCACTTTTATCCCCAAATTTTGTTGGAAATACTGTTGGAGTGTAATTTCACTGCCCAATATCCCTTTAGGTAGGGGCATCTTATATCCTAGAACTTTCTAGTGCCCAGTTCTAATGGCAGTATTTTGGAATATTTTCTTACCTGTTTAAGTAGAAGCATCTTCCCACACTTCCAAGTTTCCTTTGAACTTTTTTTTTTAAATAACAGGCTCCAAAGTGATTAGGCATCCAGATTGTAGTGATTCCAATGGATGTACATTTTGTGAGAAGGGGCCCGTTGACCACAGCCTTTGGCATGCTAGGTGTAGGTCTTTGAGCACATATTGACTTAAGGAAATATCTTCTGGGTCAAAATAACAAAGTGGTAAAGCTCTAACTCCTGAAATGGGAGACATCGAATTGCCCACATAGCAACCACCACTCAGAATCCACTCCACAGCCACGAAAGGCCGCACTTGCCAGGTCTGACCAGTGGTTCGCCGGGTGAGGGAGCACCTGCCCCTGATGACGGACCTACTCCCCACAGAGGGTGGGCACAGTGGACCCCGAGCTACAGCACCCTACCTTCTGGTGCTTGAGCCACCAACCTTGCAGGAGCAGCTCATGCCTGAGCATTTTGAACTAAATGTTTACAAGTAAAATTCAGTTTATTCCTAAAGGACGGCCCTTTTATCACTATTGGATTAGGGCTGAGATTTCATTAAGATCATGGCCCCAACCCTAACAGGCGCTCTCGGTAGGAATGAGCATCCCCAGACAACTGGGTGTAACGCCTTTTCCCCTCAAAGCATTTGTCTCTCAAGCGACTCGGTTGCTGTGAGTCCCGCACAGGGGTCTTCTCGGGGGAGTGTGCAGGCTTCCCTCTGGCTCGCACTCAGAGGAGCTCCGCGTGGCTCCAGACACAGCTGTGGGTTTGGTGTGTTTCTTGTTCTCTGTACCCTCCAACCTCTGGCAGCTCCGTTATGGAGACTGTATTTTAATACACTTACTATGTTTCGGTGATTATGAGTGATGCGCTTGAACAAGAATGGTTGCTGTTGGTCTTCACCTTGCGGGCCACCCCACCCGCCCCCTATCCCAGAGGAGATCTGCAGTAGCCTTGTAAGTGTCTAAGGGACCCGCCACCGCTTGCTTGCTTTTTAATTTTTTCCCCACTGCTTTCAAAGTAGGGTTACTAATAAGCCCTTTCATATCCCACACAGCCATCACAGTTACTAGATGGCCTGCCATTCTTGTTCAGAGAATGGTCATCGTTGGGTATTACTCCTCGTACATTTTTGCTCAGCTTTTCAAACTCCTGATGCTCAGGCTGCCCGCGGCCACCACTCGCTGCTATCCAGCCAATTCTGGCTCCGAGTGACCCAAGACTGGGTTTCCCACTGTGAACTTTGATGGGGCGAGACAGCCTCATCATTCTCAAAGGGAGTGGTTGGTGGGCTTGAGCCACCAACCTTGCAGTTAGCAGCCCAATGCCCTAGTCACAGCACCACCAGGGCTCCTGCACTCCACACCAATTAAATTACAATAGCAACGAGAGCCCCAGTTAGCGGTATTTTTCCCAATCCCAGGTGATTCCATTGTGAAGCAAGATCGGGAACCCACTGGCTTTACTTATTAACCAGATAGTTCAGTGGTTCTTCCCTAGCTACCAGGCTGTGGTTCTATGGCCCATTCATACTTTGGACGAATTGTTTTCTTGAGCGCGATTACTTATTATAACATTTTCCCCCTGAATCTATTTCTTTTTCAGATTTTTATAACCCATCCACCTATTCTTATTTAAGAAAAAATAAAACAAGCAACTCAAACCCATTGTCAAGTTGATTTCAACTCCTGGCAACCCTGTTGTTACTGAGTGGGACTGTTCCATAGGGGTTTGATTGTAATCTCCACAGAAGCAGACCACTAAGTCCTGCTTCCATGGTGCTATGCGGTGGGTTCGAACTGCCAAACTTTAGGTTAGTAGTCAATCGCACACCGTTTGTGCCACCCAAGAACCTAACCTGGCTTGATAACAAGGAGGAAGTGAATTTTCACTTGTGTGGGAATATTTTACCTTGATCCTTGGACACCACGTCTTACTCTTCCCTTGTAATAAAAGGCAACTTAATTGAAAAGAAGCTTGGCCACATCAATGAAAGAAGAGAAACAACTTTTGTAGGTCCCTTTTGGTTAACCACTAGGCTGTATCCATGTGGCCTAGAGTTACAGGAATGACCCAAACGGAGACTCTGAGGGGGCCTTGTTATCTAAGAGCCAGTGGGACAGGTGAGAAGTAGACCACCGGTTCTTTGTGTTTGCGGACGGTTGTAGATCTCTACTGGCTATGAGGCGAAGACTGAGTAAACAACCCTCCTCTCGTTCTAGATCTTCATCTGCTGGTGGACGTGGCCTGCAAGCAGGAGCACTTTCCAAAGGAGGAAGAGTTAAAAGAATGAGGAATGGGTGACAAATGTGACATTGTGCGCTAGCTGGAGCTGGAGGCAGATAGCCTTCCTTGCACATGACACGCTGTTGGGACTTTTTCAGTTGTGTTAAGGAAAAAAAAAAAAAGTATTTTTCGTTTTGTTAATTGAGAATTTGATCTTTTCTAGATCTGTTCAGTTCAGATAATTTACCTTGATAAACTACTAAACATCTCCTGGCCATGTTTTTTTGCTGCCCAGCTCTCTTTCACATGAAAATGCCTGGCCTTCTGTTACAGCAGGCTGCACTGTGGTCCTGGAGAATGCGTGCTGTGTCTGGGCCGATTCGGCAGCCTGCAGTCAGCCCGCCCCGGTGGGGAGTGCTGTCCCTCTTCCATGTCCCCGTCGGATCCGTTTGAAGAAAACTGTGTGCGTGACAAAGGCGTCTGAGGTCACCACGATTGCAGGTGTCCCTGGGACGAGGGGTGCCAGGGAAGGCATTCCGGAGAAGGACTATAATGTTCTCCGTGATTAACCAGGGACGCTCTTACTCTCTAATCCAGCATTCTGTTTGAAGAGCAAGGCATCCAGACTTGGGCCATTCATCACATGTACCTACTACCCCTGAGCCATCTTCCTTAGTGGAGCGTTCTTCTATTGTCATAGCTTTCCTTCATTTTAATACTGTATAATCATAAATGGTAAGAAGGGTTTTGTTAAGACATTGTTTACTTAAATGTCTTCTAAAGAAAAATCTTTAACTTGTTTAATATAATTATATTAATAAATGCTGGTAGATTGAAACGTTTTAACGCTTACATTTTTATTAATATTGCAGGATAGAAGGATAAAGGAAGCATGTATAATATGTTTATTTTGAAGGGAAAATGTACAATGTATGAACAAAAACATTAAGGGATTTAACAGAGTATTTTTTATTTTAGACTTTACATTCGATTGGTATAAAGCCTCACCTATGTGAGGTATTTTGTACAAATGTTGGGAAAAATTGACTTTTAGCAAAAGCTACTCCTCTAACCATTTCTAATTGGCTTAAGCTTCTGAGACAGTGTTGGATAGTGGGATACCCCTAGTAGTTTTATTTATCAAACCTGTCGGATTCTGATTCACAGTAAGAGGACTGTGGGACGCGTTTTTAAGTTCCGCTCACTGGAAGAGAGATCTTGGATGTCCAGTTTCCAGAGTTGACTCCTCTCCTGCTCATCGCACGATGGCAAGGAGCGCTTCTAAATTGACTAGAGCATTTGTATTGGTTTTGTCTCCGTTTTTCCAATGCACATTTTCGCAAACAAAGGAAGTCCTAGTAGTATCAAACTAAACAGAAAGCAAAAGAGGCACTTAGTGATATGGCAGCAGTACCATGCACGTCACTGTGGGTGTAATTTAATTCAGTCCTAAAGTTGCATTGTGCCTTCCAGTGAGGTCAAGCCCTAAATGTGTTGTGAAGATCTTTTCTGTTCTGGGCTCTTTTTAAAGGGTGAGCTCTGTACTGGTCAACAGTGACTCAATTTGGACACGAAAGTAGGTTCTGGAAAGTGACTTTGGTCCATCTGACGAGATGGGTTGCTGTCCCGCGTGATGGGCATTACTTCATCGTTGTCAGCTAGGTTTGCAAGATGAAAACCATCGTCAAGACAACTGCGTCTTTTGGCAGAGCATGTGCAGAAGAGGCCGGCTTTTCAAGTGAAGGCGCTTGTCTTCCCCTCGTGTTGAAAAGCTGGCAGACTAGGTAGGTGATGCTGCGTCCCTGCAATGGCCCCTCCTGGCCTTGGACCTGTTGAAAGAGATGTTATGTTGTGAGGAGTGTGTGGCAAGCAGGGATTTTGGCATAGGTTTATTGGTCTTGAGGCTTAATTCATGGAATGCCTTATTCTCTTTCCAAACTGTTTCTTATGTGAGCACAGCCGACCAAGAGCTGGGTCTCCCAGTACACATGCATGGAGCCCATCAGCTAGAGCTGCCACCATTGAGTTGGGTCAAATGACAAAAGATGACATAAAATCTTCATGTGAATTAGCCAGTAGGGTCTGACACATACCAACCAGGTTCCTGTCTAGTACCTCAGTATTTCAGCACCTTAAGCACAGATAACATTTTAATCAGTCAACAATAAAGTGAATGTTCAAACTAGACTTGCTTGGTTTTTGCTGTTTGATTGGGGACGAATAGAAAACACAATCGTCATGACCATTAATCCCAATAGTAAAGTTCAACAGAAGATGTAGTCTGTTTTTGAAAGAACTGACTTTTAAAAATGGACCCTGGCCCTTTTTTTTTTTTTTTGGCATTTGCATTTGAGCAGAGACGGGATCTTTAAAATGGCATTAAGGATAGAACAAAGCCAGGCTATTTTTCAAAAACCTAGGTTTTTTTGAAAAGGGTAAATGGCCTTCAGTAACTACTTAATTAAGATGTGAAAATAGATCCTGAAGAGAGAACTTTTTAATGTACTACATTAGGTAGTAGATGTCAGCGAAGTGGGTATTCCATTACTGTCGTGAGGATATCTTCCTGTATCTCTGTCGAAGTCTTGTGGTTCATCCTACCAATTTAAAAAAAAGCATTTTATTGGCATATCACTCACATATCATACAACTTCATCATCCAATCATGTTAACAAGAATTGTGCTATCAGCATCACAATCAATTGCAGAACAGTTTCTTCTCGTACCCATTGTTAGCTCCCTGTTTCCTCCCATCCTCCTTCGCCACCCCCACCCCCCTCTCAAAACTCATTGCTGCGGGGCCAGTGCTGACGCCTAGCCACTCCCCACCCCCACCCCATGGGTGCCTGAGACCCACTGTTTATGGGAGTAGAAAGCCCGGTCTTTCTCCCAGGGAGCTGCTGGTGGTTTTGAACTGCCGACCATGGGATCGAAGCCCCACGAGTAACCATGACACCCCCAGGGCTCCTGCCCTAGGCACTTAGTAACCCAGTGGCCCTTGTCTATAGCTTTACATTTTATCAAATCACTTCGAAGCTGGAGAATGATTGTTTCCTTGCTTGTCACTTCTGATGACTCAAATGGACACAGCAGACCAGCACACTAAGCTGCAGATGGCTGTTTGGTTTGATCCCGAGTCTTTTGGGCTCCCCGCGTTTATGATACATGCTATCATCTCGGATTTGGGGGTTTCCTAAAAACAGGGCAACACATCTCAGCGTGTCTGCCCTCTTCGCTCTTCTGTGTGTGTGTTCACTATTGGGTTTGGATCTCTTCATTCCTTTGGAAGTTTCAAGTATGAATAGATAAGTCTATGCATAGATTACTTTGTGTCTAAAAATGTTTTTATATGAGATATAAGTATATGTATTTTGTACTAGTTCTGCTACACTATTTCCTGGTGTATATATAAATGAAAATGCAAATCCATAGGTATTTTTAAATTCTCTTTCTGGAATTAGAGTTATTTCTAATTATTAGGAAAGAGACTACAACCCCCCCCCAAAACAAACAAACAAACAAAAACCTTGTACTTCTTACATTATGTTCTCAAGGTCCCACCAAGAGGGAGGGAGGGAGAGTGCTAAATTAAGATCTTAATTTAGAATACATCAGAATACTTCAGAATATATCTTCCTGTTCTATATTAGGTTTTGTGCTTAAAAATCTGAAACTACCCCCTTAAGCTATCTACAGGGGGGAAATGTTTACGGTTTACTCATACTTTTTGCTTTCAGAGGTATTGTGGAATATTTGCAAGCACCTACAATGTAATTATCATATGCACATCTTACTGAAGATCAGCTTGTGTAATTTTGAAAGCTTATTGGCAGTAGTTCAAAAATAAAATGTCTAACTACAGTCAAATATTGGGTAAGTGTTGGAAACAGGAACTTTTGCATTATTTCTAGCAACAAGATACTATGAATGTGCTCATTAGCCAAAAGCGAGGCTCCTTTCTGCCTACACTCTTTTCATGAAGTGTAGTTTACTTCTTCGCTCAGCTTGCAGGGACAGACCTGCCACCCTGGGTGGAGGGCAGCGGCCTGGGCCATTGCAGTCGTTCACTTCCTAACGACGGAGGCGGGGCCTCTGACATCATCAGAAGGCTCACCAAGAAGGTTGGAGCGGAGCTACTGAACTGAAGTCAGCAGAATAGCTGTGACTCAATAAAGCCAGGGCCCTTCCCCATGGCAGACGGAAAGCAGCAGTCAGTGCTACAGCGCAGGGTCATTCTTAAAAACCCGTGTCCCGCTCTGTTGCTTCCCGGGGCCCCTCTTTATACCTCGGCGTCCCAGTGCCACCGTCCAGCCTCTGCCGGGTGTGGAATCTGTTTAGGTGTCTGTTTGAGAGACCTGGATTTACGATGTATTATTCACACGCTGAGAATTGAACTGGATGCAGTTTGTCTTTGGCTCAATAGAGGGAGTAGAGGAGCTGAGAGAATGGAGAGAAGGAGTGTGCGTGCGCGCACCCAAGCCTGGGCCCGGGCCAGCCAGGAGGAGGAGGGGTGGGGTGGGGGTGGGTGCCTCTCGCTGCTCCACCCTCACTTTGTGTCAGCAGGTAGGGAGCGTGATTGCAGTCCCAGAGGAGCGAGTCAGAGCTGGGACACCAATTACAGAGCGCAGGAACTCTAGGGAGAAAGCGCTGGCAAGCCTTCCGGACTTGGCGAGGCTATCCATGCTTCAGAGGCAGGCTCCTCCTGGGATTTTTCCTCCCTGTGTTCCTGGTAGTGAATTGTTGCCGGTGTGTTGGCCACTCTGCTTCCTCTGGTCTCTTTCAAGATTTGATCATTTTAGATGCTGTTCGGGGAGAGCAAGACCTTTTGTTAGCACGGAGATTTCAGCAATGATTTTGGAGCCTCTCTAAGTATTTTCAGAGTTCCTGGGGACACTAGCTCTCACCCTGGAGCAGGTTTCTGCCTTTGACTTGCATGGATTACTTTTTCAGGCTGCGGAGTTTCTCGGCACCCACCTGCCCTGCGGGCCACTCGGTTTGGTGGCCGAGTAAGAAGGTGGAAGACTGGGCTGCGCTCGGTGCAGCAGTTGAAACCTTTTTTGAGCAGGATCTCTGACTTTGGCTCATGCCCCGTGGATTCCAGTGGGCCCGGCAGCGCAACAGGTTTGCCGATTGCTTGGGGGAAATTTTTTATTTTAAGTTTCCCTTCAGCTTCAACAAAAGAAAAGAATCTCTGTAACAGATTCATGGTCAGTTGCTTGGCTTTCCAGCGTGTAGTCTGGAGACTCTATACGATTTTTTTTTTTTTAGCTTGACCTCTGTCTGAACAAGTGGGTTTTGTGGGGGAAGTGCATTGATATTTACTTAAGGGTGCATATTTTAAAATCGGACTCTCTACTTGTACCAAGACCCAACTTCTCAAATGTGCCCAGAAGTAACCCAGCGCGACAACACTCAGGCTTATTTTTACTTTTTCAGGGTGTTCAGCACAGCGCCTGTGACTAAGCACCTCCCTTACCCCCCTTTACTTTATTCCCTACCCCCTCAAGGAATTTGAAAACGTGTTCGGAATAGTCCTTTGTTTTTCTTATGGACCCAGAAAATTACGGATTATGATATCTGGGTAGTAACGTAGCTTCCATGGGAAATGAGCGTGCTCGGCATTCTCAGGCTGGAGAACAAGAGACCAAGAACATGGAGACAGAGAGGTGACTTTCAACCGCAAAGAAAGCACCAGAAAGCTGACCTTTTCAAGAGCTCCCCTAATTATGAAAGTGGTGATTCTCCGGATTAGCGTGTGAAATGTGAAGACATGGGCGTTTGTCACTTACTTCATAGGCAGGTTTTAGTAGAACCCCCCAAATTACAGTGTGTCCAAGCTCAGGAAGAGTCTTCCTGCTCCACGGGCCTCGGACGTAGGCTGTAGTGACACCCCGCTTCCTGTGGAAACCCTTCTGAGTGCGTGTGGTAGCATCTTTCCTGAGATTGTGTAGGACTGTTTGCTTTCCTCTCCCATTTAAAGAGGAAATCGCCTTGACCTTTTGGGTCATTTGCCATTCCCAGATTTTGTGGTTTGCAAGGGGCCACTTCTTCATTTTCGGAGCTGGGGTTCTTCATGCGCTCCTTGAACGCGTGGCCTTAGCCACTGACTTGGCCTTGTTTTGTTCATGAACATTGGCTTCAGTGGCTCAGCGACTTGATACATATGGAAAACCAACCCCGAGTGATCTGGCATCAAAATTCATGATGTGACTGACATTCAGCCTCCAGCAGAGTTGGAAATCCCAAAGAGACGCTGTGCGATCTTTACTTGGCAGGGGAAAGATGGGAGAAAGGGGCATGCCTGCAGCAGAGGTGGGCTGAAAACATCTCTGCGCTGCCTCATCAGGAAGGCCACCTGTTTTGGGGACGATGCTTCAGAAAAAGAGCCAAAACTTTGACTTGGCTTTCTGAAACGGAAGCCTAAGTTCCCGTTCCCTCCATTTCTCTGGATCTGGGGCCTGCGTTTGGTATTAGCCGCGGAAGCAATATGTTTGGCCGAAGTGCATTGCTGCACCTGGCAGCATGAGTGGCGGCCACCAGCTGCAGCTGGCTGCCCTCTGGCCCTGGCTGCTGATGGCTACCCTCCAGGCAGGCTTTGGCCGCACAGGACTGGTACTGGCAGCAGCGGTGGAGTCTGAGAGAGCAGCGGAGCAGAAAGCGATTATCAGAGTGATCCCCTTGAAAATGGACCCCACGGGAAAACTGAACCTCACCTTGGAAGGCGTGTTTGCTGGTGTGGCTGAAATAACCCCAGCAGAAGGAAAACTAATGCAGGTAAGGATAACGTGCCTGTTTTTCACTTTCCATCTGCTCGAAACATGCTTTCCTTCTTTGTCTCCCAACTCAAATCCCACGCAAGCCGGGGCTTCTGCTGCCGGACCTCTGCGCCCCATTTCTAAAAGCTAAGTACCCTCTTGGCATTCGAAAGCAAAGTCTTAGACGAGAAGAAGCGTAAATCCTGTTTTGGAACATCACCTGTCTATTTCTAACTCCGGTATTACCTGGCCTTTGGGGGTATGCATTGTAAGACGATTCTTTGCGAGTGGTTCATCTGAACACTGATTTTTGGTGCATGAAATCTTCAGGCTTGTGTTTCGCTGACCTGAGGATTGCCCTGAACAGCGTGTTCAACTCTGAAGTGAGCACTGCAGGGTGTTGATTGTAATGGTCAGGCGCACCTTGGAATTCTGGCATGCCTTTGGAGCAGATTTGAGGGCCCTGCCGCTCCCTACGCCCAGTCAAGCGTGTGTGCTCCCGCCGGCCTCGCACGTGGGCCGCACACTGGAGCAGCCCCTAAGGAGAGGGCTGGGGCACAAAATGGGCACACGTGGTAAAACCTGCCTCCAGCTCATTTGGGGCCTTGTTCACACACACCATTATGATTTTGAAAACATTTCAATTTCACCTCTCCTTTTTACTGACCCACGTGCTTTTTTTCCAGACACGGTTTTCTGGGGGCTTTTGTGCTAAGACTGTGTTTCCCCTATAACTCATCCATAGCCTTTGTATGTGTTGAATCGAGTCTTGGCCAGAAAGCAAAACTGGAATTAACCCAGTTTTATAGAATGTAGGGATAGCAGCATGCTAACTGGAACAGGGAAAATTACGGGTGATTGCCCTGTTAGAAACGGAATTTTCCTCTTAGGAAACAAGGACAGCATGTAGGTTGCATAGCAACCCAATCTCTTGATTGGCAGAGTCTGGAACAGTTGTGCCCAGCTCACCGATGGCAGCCAACCTTGGGGCTTTGAATGTGTGTCACTCTCCACAGCCCAGATGATAATCCAGTCGCTACACCAGGCTCTTGGAAGCGCGCACTGTGAGCTCTCCCGCATTTCCCATCCCAAGGCTTGGACCCCTCGTTCTCCCATTCTCACTATGATCCGGGCACAGATTCAGGTCAGCTCCAGCTTGGCTTCATGCATCATGCCTGAGCCACTTCAGACTGATTCTAAGGCCTGCATGGAATTTGTGAACTGACTGGGGTGAAAGTAATGTTTCCTCGGCCAAGTTCTTGTTGTCCATGGTGACCAGAGAGCCTAGTTAGGGAGTATTGAGTTGCTTTCAACTCACAGCAACACTCTTTGTAACAGAAGGAAACACGGGCCAGCCCTGCACACCGTCACAGTCCTTGCTGTGTCTGAGCTCGCTGTTGCAGTCGCTGCGCCAACCCATCTCAGTGAGGCCTCTTTTTCACGTCCTCTCTGCCAAGCATCATGTCCTTCTTCAGGACTGGTCCTTCCTGATAACTAATTCAAAGTGTGTGAAAGGAAGGCTCACCATGCTTGCTTCTAAGGAGCATTCTGGCTGTACTTCTTCCAAGACGGTCTTAGTTGTTCTTCTGGAAGTTCATGGTATATTCGATAGTCTTCACCAAGGTATCAGTTCTCTGGTCCTTCTAATTCATGACCTTGAATGCATACAAGGTAACTGAAAATACCATGATTTGGGTCAGACACACCTTTGTCACAAGAGTGACATCTTTTCTTTTTAACCCTTGAAAGAGGTCATTTGTAGCAGATTTTCCCAATGCAGTATATCCTCTTTTTTGGGGGGGTGGTGTTTGATTTCTCACACCAGAAATCTTCTCTTCAGTTCTTTTGCTTCATCGTTTCTTCATTCACTTTTGTTGCTATGGAGCCAAAAGCCAGTTTCCGAGTCCCTGAGTCCCTTCTAACCTCATGTGTGTCTCTTTAATGATCTTTTGCTTTCTTTATGTATGATTTCCAACATGTTATCTCACAGCTCATCTTGGCTTTGGTCATTCCGATGGAGCGTACTCAAGGTTGTATTTCGGTTTCCATGGACTTGTTTTAAATGTCTTCACTTTCGACTTGACTTGCCTATGAGCAGTTGGCGGTCTGTTCTGAGGTTGGGCCGTGGCCGTGTGCAGACGGGTGGTATCGAGCTCCGTGAAGAAATGCTCCACAGATTCCACACGTTCAGTGGGTTTGATTCCTGAGCATTCCAACTGGCACAGCCCACGTGCATAATTGCTAGTTATGCTGCTGGGGGGGGGGGCACTATTATCAGCCAGGGCACTGTTGGTCCTAGAAAATTCCATCATTTGATCTTCCATGTCTGTTCTCTCACTAAGACCATATTTTTCAACTACTGATCCTTCTTGCTCCCGACGCTTGCATTCCAATCACCAGTAATTATCCAGGCATCTTGATTGCATGTTTGATCAATTTCTGACCACAGAAGTTGTAAAAATCTTTCATTTCTTCATTATTGGCATTAGTGGTTTGTGCATAAATTTGAATAATAGTCATATTAACTGGTCTTCCTTATAGACTTATGGATATTATCCTTTCACAGACAGCATTCTATTACAACACATCCTTAGCGTGTCCTTGTTGGTAATGCAGGTGATACAATTCCTCATTGTCACTCCCGGCATAATAGATCATATGACTGTCCTATTAAAAATGGCAACACCAGTTCATTTCAACTCATTAATGCCAGGGTTGTTAAATTGATTCATAATTCATGCATTCCAGTCATATTCTGGTTATTAAGGGATGTTCACGCAGCCTCTCATCTCATTCGTTGGATATTTTGAGCTGTGCCACATCAGCAAAAGAAGGTCAGGAAGGCTTCCCTCCATCCCCATCATTGAGGTCAGTGCTCCCCTCGGGAGGTAGCTCTTCCCCAGCTGCACTCTGAGTGAGTTCCAACCCGAAGGGCCCTTCTTCCAGCCCGCGGTCAATCTTCCACTGATCGTGAGCAGGACTTTTCTGGCCAGGTTTTTGAGTAGATGACCCAGTCCTTCTGCCTGGCCTGCCTTGGCCTGGAAGTGCTGCTAAAGCCTGTCCCCGTGGGTGACCCTGCTGGCATTTGGAATATCAGGGACATACCTTCCAGTGTTACATGATGTACAAGCCACCACAGTAGGGTGATGTGACAGATGTGTGTGGTCTCGTGCCTTCACGCCATAACATTTACATTGCTTATTGATTACAATTCATTTTACAATAGGACACTTACTGTAGCTCTTGGACCCAGGTTAAAATACTGTTAAATATGATGGTTTTAGTTATCTAATGCTGTTGTAGCAGGGACATCGCAAGTGGGTGTTAACAAATTTATTCTCTTGCAGTTCAGGAAGCTAGCAATCCAAATTCAGGGTGGTAGTTCTAGGGGGAAGGCTTTCTCTTGTCTCCCTGGGGTTCTGCTCTGGAATGATCTTCCCGTAGCTTGAGGTCTCTCTTTCCCCATCTCGGCTTGCTAGTTTCCATTTAACCTTTTCTTATATCTCAAAAGAGATTAATTCAAGATACACCCTACACTAACAGTGCTTCATTAACATAACAAAGACAAGCCTTCCCCAAATGGGATTATAGCCACAGGCATAGAGGTTAGGATTTACAACACATATTTGCGGGTGGGCCTGGGGGCATAATTCAATCCATACCAGTGATCTCCTTCAGCACCCAAATTCAGATTTTTATTTTGTGATATAAAGAGAGCCAAAGTACTGTGTGAGTTAAGAGTACTCGCTCCTCAGGGAAAGAAAGTGGGAGAAGGAGGCATTGGTAAATGCTCTTTTCCAAGCACGTGTGGATTTTACATACGCACACGCATAGGAGGTTGTCCCATCATGCCCATGGAGGATTGCTTTCAGGACCTCCCTTGTGTATCGAAATCCAAGAATGCTCAAGTCCCGGGGGCTTCTAAAAGTTCGTGAAAAAGTGGAATAGAAAGAAAATGGAATTTTTCCACAAAATATTTAAAGCCCCCTCTTCTGAAACGACAAGGAATTTGCTTCTAGTGCACACACATCATCCCATGTAGTTAATATAATACCTAATACAACACAACCGTCATGTAAATTGCACTTCTCTTCCTTCTAGCTTTTGGCCCGTCCTGGTGGTCCTCCGGGTTAGGCGCTGGACTGCTAACTGATGGGTTGGGCAGTTCAAACCCACCAGCTACTCTGCTGGAGAAAGATGAGGCAGTCCGTCTTCTGTACAGATCACAGTGTCAGAAATCTTACGTAGGGCCATTCTGCGTCCCAGTTCACTTGATGGCAGTATGTTCAGCCTTTGAAGGATTGTTTTGACCACCGAATTGCCCCCACGCCCCTATACTTTCCATCCTCAGCTGGTTGAACGTTCAGAATCGGAACCTGAGAACATAGAGGGCTGTGTGTGTGTGTGTGTGTGTGTGTGTGTGTGTCTGTGTACCTGTACATACATAGATACACATACATGTAGTTTAGTGGTTCTTCAAAATAATTCCTTAGGCAAAGAAGTAGAAGACTCAAGAGACTATTTTAGAAAAATCCGTGGGGAAGAAGAGTGTAAATCAGTATAAGTTTTGATAAGAATGTTCTATCCCTAACTGTGGACACTAGAGGGGAATGATCATGCTTAAAGTTGAAATCATAAATACTTTTGACTATAGGAATTAGAAAAGAAACATTGCTTCCTTTCTGACCATGCCTACCTAATAGCCTGCAAGAGAGGCCTGACCTTCATTTTAATAGTTTTCCCTAAGTAATTTTACTGTAGGGTCATAGTTTGATATCTTTGGCATCTTTGGGAGTCACATTAAGCTTTTTGGTTTAAGCATGCTCAATGAATTAATGAAATACTGTATAAAACAATTTACTTTTACTTGAAATTGGTCTTTCCCCTCTATTACCCTAGAGCTCCACATAAAATGTCAGTGTTTGCACGAGGGAAAAGGTAAATACGAGGTCCCACAGGCTTCCTCTTGGCCACTCGTTGCTTCATCTTCTCTTGTGCTGCCCTTTGTCTCACGCCGAC